TACTTCATATTGAGTTTTTTGATTTAACTTTTGTGGGATCGAAAAATGCCGTAATTAAATAACAAAAAAGGTGGTCTAGAGAGCTCTTATTTAAATATTTGGCACTCACATCGGTTCGTCTTTTTTACATTAAACTTTTCCAATTCGCTTTGTAAAAGCACATAAAAGACAAAACAATGAGTTTTTAAAAGTATATGTATATGTGTTATAAGATAATATTTTGTCAGAGGGAGTTTAAATAATAATTTCCAAGTATTCAATAATAATTTTTAATATATTTACTTAAGGAAAATATTATTTTGTTTATAAAAATGATGTACTTATAAAAAACATATTATCTAAATACTAAATGTAGGTAAAAAGTTATAAGGTTGAATTTAAATTTTAGAATAATATTTAAATATATTTTATAATAAAACATATTTTCAATAATTGAATTAATAACATTGGCGTGGTAAAGGGGTGGGGGGTAAACCCCCCACCCTATGGACACTTTACGAATATAATATATGTACTTATATAGGTACAATAATAATAATTTATTGCGAACAAATCTAGCTTAGCCACCACGCTAATTTTTCAATTTTTTTTAAGAAATCTATTTCTTACAACGAGTTAATAAAAACGATGTTGCAAAAATTAATTGCCCAAAATCATTAGTTTGTAAGTTATACCAAAGTTCACAATTTTTGGTGTTTTACCACGGATTAATACAACTTAATATTTTACCACGCGTTTGGAACTTCTAAAAAAATTGTTTGGGTTCTAACGTACCTATGCATTAAACTAGGTATTAAAGCAGCTGAGTCAAGCATGCTGAAAATGATGGGGAAATCTGCATTTGGCGGCCAGACTTATTTCAAAGTTATAGCTAACTAAAATGTTTGAAATTTTCCTATACTCGGTGTGGTCACTCGCTCGCTCGGTCAATTAAAATCGAAAACATCCTTCAACTTGTTATTTAAAATCACTATAGGTGTGTGTCAGAATTATTTTTGCACCATAATTTTTAAAACGTTGATTTACCTAGGTTTCAAAAATAAAAAAATTTAAAATTCGTTAGCACATACCACCGAAAAGTGTGAACTTTGTAATACTTACTATAAAAACTAATGATTTCTGGCAATGAATTTTTGCACTATCGTTCTTAACTGGTTGTAATAATACAATGTCAAAAAATATTTTAATATTCGCATGGGCGCTAAACTAGATGTATAACCCTAAATTTAACAAATATTTTGTTTGAAAAAAGTTTCCAATCCCCCGCTCCCCCTCCACCATACAAAATTTCTGAGTACGCCTCTGATCAATAATGAAATATTTTGTATTATTCAATTAATTATTCTGTAGGCACTCAAAAGCTAAAAGGTATTATAGGTAATTACATTGTTTATAAAGATTCGAACCTTAATTTAAAAAAATACTCTTCATTTTATTCAAAAAAAGTATACAAATACATTTTCTGACATCTGTGTTTATTTTATAATATTATTGGTAATATAATAATAATTTGTATACAAATTAGTGTCTAATACTCTGATGTTAAGTAAATATATTATTGAAAAGGTACTTAGTACATAGAAGTCGATTATAACAATATTCAAGGGACCAGTACTTTTAATTGTTACATAATCACTATAATAAAAATGCAGATTTAAAATTTTCACAATAAAATTATGAAAAAATAGAACTTAACCTAATATTTTGTGGTTAGAAATTAGATGATTAGATTGTACTATAGATGTTAATATTTCCAAGCAGATAGACACAAAACTCGTTGGTCAGAGAAGTATTTTTTAAATCGTTATTTAACTTCTTGCATATAGGTACCTATGTTTGTATCATTAAATGATAAGTATTATTAGTATTACAATATTACCATCGTTACGAAAATGTAAATACTAGATAGAGTTGCGTGCTTGTTATATTGTTATTGCTAACGTGGTGGCAGGGGTATGTGTGTATGGGGAATAAAATCATTCATGTGCGTTATATGCGATTTTCCGTTGTTTTCGAACAAAACTTACAAAGTTATTGTTCCTTATGGTTATTGTTGGGCAAATATATTTTTTTACGGTAGTATAACTTAAGTAACGTTTGTCCGTATACACAAGTAAGCCCACGGTTCTGCACTGTTATCGCCTATATTTGGGAATCTTGGTCGAAAGCCAATTCCTTGGGCTACCCGATTGCGTTTTTGTACGCGTATCACTATTTTACAACAGGCAGGGGTCATTGTTTGTGTTTTTATGATAATACACCCTCGTTGCGCGGGTAGGAAACGGTCATAAAAGTCCACATAAAGTCTAATGATACTTTTAAGTACCTATATTTGCTGATGGTGGGGGATCTTAAATTATATTACTCTTAATATGGTTTATATTATTTATATATAGTATAGAATATAAATATATTATATAGATTTGACACTCACTCGAACCGATTGTCGTGGCCTTGTTTTTTGATATTATCCTTGCGTCGGTGTCGCTGCTTATTTGATCCCTTTTCCTTCTCCTTCACCACGAACACACCACCGGTCGAGTACGTGCCGCCCATTTCTGGAAAAACAAACAATTCCATAGATGTATAATTATTATATTATTCAATGACTCTGGTGGTAGACTACACATCCGTTCGTGACCCTACACCAACCACGATATTTATCCGGCCCATGAATTATTAATTTAACACCTTTTCTATACCTATGCGTATATATATCTCGTATTTTACGACCAATTCCTCTGAATAGCTAACCACCACACACACATTTATTTAACAAATTTGTTTTCACCGGCCGTGAATTAAATTTGTTACATTAGTATAGCGTTTACGGAATGTAAACGTTTTGGAAATATTGGATTTTAACCGCAAGTTAATGAAAGAATTTAACGTTGGCTGTATTAATTTAATTTTTATATTTTACTTGGTTTACATTTTCATTATGGTTAATACAGTTTGTTAAAATTGAAATATTATCAAATACGTTTTTCTCCCTCGTTTTATTGATTACAAAACTTTTACTTTATTTTCAAATAAGCATGTTTTAAACTTTCATTAGGATATATTATCATGGCAACAGTAATTCTCCAGAATTAATTATTATTATAATTATTAGGTATATTAAACGACCAAATAGACGTTAGTTAAAAATCAAATAACATAGTATTTAAGTTAATTATACTTTTTGAAAGTAAATTGAACTTTTATTTACATAAAATTACAGCTTTGCTGTTTAGTTTATAGTTATTATAATATACTATATACACTCAAATTATACAGAACGAAATCAATAAATTCCATGAATATATCTGGATATAACATAATATATAACTTATATTACATCTTAATGATTTTCATTATAAAATAAATAAAATTGTAAAAAAAACGACTCGAGTTGTTTAAGAATTTTGAATCTAATATAAAAGTGAGATTATGGGGGTTGCTTATATTATAATGATGTATTTTTAGTTTACTAGAAAAAAACTTTTTGGCACAGTAAAAAAGCTATAAAAGTTTCACGTTGAAATGGAATATCAGCATGTCAGTATATGTTTATTTATTGGATAATCAGACGATCGGACTATTAAAGAAGTTTGTGCATTGGAAAGTCGACGAGAATAAAATATGTTAAGAAAAATAATCTAAAATTTTCTAGAAATTCGTTTTGAAACACTTTGGTATGGAGATAATATATTGTCTTTCCTCAATTTTTATTCGATAAAAAATCATTTTACATTATAAATGCGATAATAATTTGTAACTACATATCGATAGTATTATTAGTTGACTCACCAAAATGGCAAAATATGTGTTATTCTAAGCAGTACTAAAATATTTTCTTTGTCACATATAAATGTCGTAGATTTTAGATGTACCTGTCTAAACATGATGAACATTTTTATTTTATTTACCAAGTTTTTTAGTTTACTTACCAACATTAATACAGTTTGAACTGAAATTCAGTCATTTACTGTGACGCGATGAAAATTTATTTTAAATTCATGTCTTGTGTTACAGAACAATACAGTTTTAGTAGTTTCACGTTATATTATAATTCTCGTTATTTATTTTACTAAGTACAAAAATTATGGTTTCAACTTTAGCACGTTTCCATTAAATTGCTACTATTTCATGTCGCTAAAAATACATTTTTATTATTTCCCGGGATTGGGTCTTAAGAAAAACTAAAATGAAAAGAAAACCGATTTGCTACGCGTATACCGTTTTCCCAGTGGACCATTGCATCATACAATACTCACGGTTTAAGAATTTATGGTTTTTATTTTAAAATATATATATACATTTCTTACATTATACAGTATACACATTATAAATATATTACGTATGCCTATATAAAATAAGTAGTACAATATTCGTTCAATTAAAATGTATGTTATAACTTATATTGTATATACCTATATATTTTATATGTTAGCAAACGTCATTTTCACACCCTTAACGTGGTCTTGGACTTAACAAACGCTGAGACTATGCGTACTGCCGTGCAGTTTATATTGTGGCCATAGTATGTATGCTGTTTTACCTATTATAAACCGACCAAACAGACATAACTGTACGTAATTATATTCCCTCGTGCCTGTATGTCTTAAATCCACTAAGCCTCCGAGTGAAGGGACTGAATAATAATGCTGCTGGGATGTCTATTTAGAAAAACTTGGTATGGAATTTATCTTGATATTTATTTCGGTGACAATAACATAATTCATCACCCGAATTTCCGTCAGTAAGGAGTTAAGATTTTTCATTCTCCCAAAAATGTAAAGCTTATGGTTATATATTATATTATATAAAATAATTAATAATTATAATATATATACAAATCGTGTGTTTTTTATAAAATTATGTACTGTGTTATAACTTATATTGTTTCTTATTTTAACCCTTTCTTTCGTTTTACATTCAAAAAACATTTGTTTTTAAACTATAAATAATTGTTAGTCAAATTCAGTTTTAAAGCTATATATTTTTTTTTAATTTTCATGTCAACATCTGGTAATGAATTTTAAATGTTTATTTTTTTGTTCGAAAATTCTATAATGACAAATTAATACTAATTTAGAAAAATACAATCTTAGCTGGTATTCATTCTTCTGCTATTATACCTATTATGTATTTAAATATAGATGTAGGTATACATCATATTCGTGAGAATAATTGCATGCCTTTCTTTTTTAATTTGTACGGTTGCTACTCTTGTGTGTCAGTTATTTTACAAATGTACAATTTTCCGATGGAATGTATTCAGAAGCCATTTAAATTAATAGAATACGTCACTTTCTATGTCTGACATGGAACCACTCTTACACGGAGTAAGACCGTTTTCATGAACACTTATTTGTCTTCCACAACTATATGTATTATTCATCTGCACTGTATGATCTAACCGTGTTGGTATACATCTCCGAGTAAGTACCACTTATTTCTCAGGGAAAAAAAACGAGCTCGTGTGTTTAGGATTCCAATCACGTTGTATCGTCAAACCCTTCGTATCCCGGTATACCAACAGTATTTCGAACGCGCACAATCGATAAGTCAGCCCCGACCTTGCACGGTTCGTCCAGCACACTAATTACCGTCGAAAAAATGTTTTTTTTTTTTATTTAAACTTGATATAATTTTTTACATCAACACACATCAAGGCTAATGCTGATTATGCACTTATTATATTATTACATACACATAATTCGGATGTATATAAATTGTATGAACTTCGGTCCCATACATACTTACTTGACGTGGAGCGATTTATTTCGCGAAAGGGATTTTTCCGCATGATAATTAATGGCTTTTAAAAGCCGCGTACTTCCACGCCATACTATATTATGTACAGTAGGTACTTACTACTTTATCGGGCAATGTACAAAGACTTTTGGAATAGTAGTTTTAACGGAAATTCGAGAAAACAAACGCGCAATTTACCTTGTGCGGTTGACAAACGCCCAGTGAATTCATAATCGTATAAATAACCATGTAATAGTTCTCGCAATAATATAATAAATATAAAAATAGTAGAAAACACTTACCTATACGTGACGTATACTGCAACAACAGCTTCGTCAAATGTACCCAAGAACCGAACTACTGTGCGTTGGCCGAACGAATGAGCTCGCAGACTGCACTGTCCATACTCCTGTAATCATCTTAAACCCAATTCTTTATCTTAATTAAGAAGAATGCTTGATGTATATCATTTTTTTCACTTGCCCACTTGATAGACCTACTGGAACGATACACTTTTCGCTCGCGCGTTGGGTGTTACTTTCTTTTCATAACTATATAGTTACTATTAATGCAGTTTTCCTTCAAACTATAGGTATAGGTATGTATGATTATGTTACATTATCATGCATTTAATTAGGTATACAACACATTAGGTATATGCACAACAACATAGATGTAAAGTGATAATGAAATTTGCTATGAAGTGAAAATAATCACTGTTCCGTAATAATTTATTCTTCAAATTTCGTTTATCAACTATTAAAGTGGGAAAAAATAGTTGTATGTGTGATTTTTTTAGAAAAAAAATATTTCAAATATTTCATTACAAATTACTTTACATTTAATAGATTTATTTATTTATTTAAAATTTTAACGGATCGTAAGATCCAGGTACAATATATATATATAATAGTACAGATATGCGTTATACTGCTGCTGTAATCGATTTTCATAAGAACCGTGTGTTCTCTTATGCGGTACCTATAATATAATATATATCTTGCAGAGTAAAGCCTTTTTATAGCCGGTGGTGCAAGTATAAAAAACAAATTACTGATTTGGTAACTTAATAGATTATAACACTAAGCTTTTTATTCCAATTCCACGTAAAGTGTATAGTTATTCCATATAATTACGACTTACGAGGGCTTAAATATTTAAGATCCGTCTACTATTTATAATATATTAGCATACCAAATGGTGAAATTGCCAAATAGCGTGTTCAGTTTTTCGTTTTTTGAACGATTTTACTTAAAACCCCCATTTAAATTTAACGTGTCTACAAAACACACGTCCTATTTATAATTTATATTATATTTTTGCAGAAATCCATGTCGAGCTTAGACGAGGATTGCCCACGGTCACAGTTCCTTTGCCGTCCAGGCGTGAACTTTGTCAGTTTACATTGCGGCCAGTGACGAACACGGTCGGAGACTTGACTAACATGTTGAAGACCGAGGACCCGGGTGTCGACCGTGTAGTTATATCCAGCTCAGAGGGTGTGCGTATCGCGTCTTCCAATACAATTGAATCGCTCATGGAAGATGACTTCCGGTTAACCATCAATGACCGAGATTTCACGGTTAAAGTGCCACCGCACAAGAAGCTTACAAAGGTTTGTAAAACCTAAAATCATACATTCATACAATAACTAATCTTTTGTAATTGGTTTACTTTACCCTATATCTAAAGAATTGATATATTATTTCAGTATTGGTATTTTCATAAATAATTTACTAATGTTTAGTTTTACGACAAGTTAATTAGTTAATTTTTAAATATTGTGTAGGGATTCCACATTTTGATAGTTAAAAACGGCCAACTGTCGCTAAGTTCCAAAATAACATAATATTATCGGCGACACTTGTAACATAAAATGTACCATCATCATCGTTTTTAATAGTTTTTCTAGTTAGGTTGTAGGTATTTTTGTATTCAGCGATAACTGATGAATTGAGTTCGAAATTACTATCAAGATTTACAAAATTAGGTATCGTTATTAATTATGACCTAGACAGCTAGACGAGGGATACAACATTTGACCACATAATAATATTTATAATTATATAGTGATATTATGTAGGTACTATAGGGTAACTATAAATTTGGCATGATAATATTATTATTTTGCAGATTTATTATCAAACTAGGTATATTGTTGTATAATGAAACCTTTCGTTGTTCTTGTAATATTTTGAAACGTATTAAAATTCAATGTGAACAAAACGTTTCGTATGATGGTAATGAGAAGATTGATAATTAAATAATTAACATTTTTATGTGGTTTACAACATTAGTCATATCGTTGGCATACGACGTTCAAATAAAGAAGAAATAGAATAATTATATCGTAAAAACCTAATTGTAAGTTACCGACACTTGGTTAGAACTTAAAACACAGGAAAATTAATCATCGATTTAAATGTTAACCATTGCATAAACTTGTAAAATATAATATGGACGTAAATAATGATTTTTTTAAACTCTTTAACTCTTTTAACACTAATCAACTCAGCTCACTTTTGTGTTTACAAAAAAAAAAAAAATTAGACAATTTGAAGTTTATAGGTACTTAAAATATATTACTTTGTTTCTGGTACGTATACGAGGACCCCCCCCCCCCCTAACCAATTAGAACAATTAGGGATTTTGTAAAAATGTAGTGTTATTATAAATGTGTCAACCTAAAAATTAAATTTTTATGTTAAAAAACATTCAGAATATTTTATTTAAATGGAATAATATTATGAATACCTACTGTAAGTAATAAGAGCTATATTTTGTGAAATAATATAACAAAAGTATCAAAGTAAGATGTCTCAAAGGTATACTTACATATTTTTTTAAAAACAATGATGATACTTTTAAATTTATTTTTAGTATATTGCCCTGCTAGATGCTAAATGTAATAACTTTGTCATTTCTTTGATAAGCTAATAAAAGTTACTACCGTCAAACACGAAACGACGAAAAAATTAGTAGGTACCTATATACATTGTGTTCATTTAAATATTATAGGTAGGTACCTATATAATATTATACGCACATTTTGTTAGAAAACCAGATAGGTAGTCTTACATTATTAGATCCACTTGGGCTTAAGGGTTAATTAGTTTGACCAACATATGGAAGTATAATGATAAATTTCGGGGTTGATCTTATCTCTAATTATGTGATGTATCAGATGTTGAATATGGTGTATAAAAACGTCTGTGATTTTAATTCTTTTTAGGTACCAAAATAATAAAGATAATAAAGTAGATTTATAATTAATAATTATTTTATACTGGTGTTGTGGTGTGAAACTATTAATTGTTGTGAATTTGAAATACCTAGATATTACTCGATATTATTATAGCTATTATACATGATATTTATTTTTATAGGAAGAAATGGAACGGCTTTCTGGCGTCAGGACTCTAGTCAGTCAGTTGTACGAATCACTGAACGTCGAAGAACATCAATTAAAAAAAGAAAGGGAGTTACTGGCTAAAATGGAAGAAATAAAAGTCAAACTGGAACCCCTTGAAAAGGTATGATGCTATTTATTAATTAAAATAATTGATAAGATTTGAATTAAATTTCCTTATTTACAATTATTGATTATTGAAGTTTGAACATTTATAATATTGTTATAAAACGTTAAACGAATTACTTATATTTTATAATGTAAGAACTAAATGTGATACTTGAAATATTTTAAATGGAATTTATGTAATAAAGTTTGAATCTGTGTGCCCGTCTGTATATAGACCGACAAATATACCTCAAATATATTTTTGATATTTGCAGCGCACCGCTATTTTTCACTTAATGATCACTCAATCACTGTTTCCTGTGAAGAAATATTTAATCATTGTTTTGTTAATTCGTATATTATATATATTTATATTAAAGTCTAGGTTATAGATCACTTTTATTTTGACCAACGTCAAAAATACATTAACTCATATCACGCTACATCAACCCTTAGCTTAGTTATATATTTATTTTAGCTAGTAAACAATTAGCCTTAAGTGAGATTCATTAATTAATATCTAATGAATATATTTTAATGAATTCCAGTAGGTACCTATAGTGACTCTAGTCTCTATTTGATAGTGAATTGAACACCTTATATAAAATATACATAAGAAAAAAATTATTTAAGTGGAAATAAATATTTTAATACATATTTTGAATTATTAATATAAATATAATTATATTAATACTTACCTAAACAAATATGAAATACGATTTTAACATGTTAGGCATTTCAATTGTAACCGTTTTTAATTTCAAAATTGCATATTGCTTATAATTTATTTGATGTTTACCTTAATTAGTAAATTATATATAACTACAAGAGACTCACCTACTAGAGACTCAGTAATTAATTCAGAGTTTATTTAATATAATAGAAACGAGTATTTTATTCAAATGTTTTGTATTATGATTTATGAATACAGTATACTTTATTTATAGTTATGTTTATACATATAAACTGTATTACAGCTTTTAATAGCATAGAAATTGTTCGAATGGAAACGTGGTCAATATCTCATTTTTTGGAAACCAAAGTATTGGTAGAATAGAGTAAAGTACACTTTTTTTTGAAACAGGTATTGCGTGAAAAAATATACACTTTTGGAAAAACGGTTACCACCCGTGGAAACGATAATTTTAATTATCGGCGGAAGCAGGTAGGTAATTCCCATTTCTGAGGAAAACCCGTGGAGATTAATTCGTATGCGAATTAACAAAACTATTTCAATTAATATATAATATATACTTATATATAAATTATATATATATATTTCTATAGCGTGTATACGTTATAATCCTCTTAAGTCGCTGAACGAACGGTTTGAATTTCACCGCCTTCGCCCTTCGTAATGCTAATATTATCTCAATTATAATTGTTAACGCACACCCTGTCGTTGGAGGATTTATTAAATTTAAATTCCGTTGCAGAGTAATTTATCTGTAATCTGTATATTATACTGCGACAATATTTGAACATTTCGCATGCATCAATGCACGTCACTTCATGAAATCAAATTAGGACACAATATAATATAAAATCTATTCGCTTGTAGAAAATATGTCAAAGACAAAACTTAATAATTATTAAATGTAACATTTATTATTTGTTTATTTTTCATGCTCGTATATCATTAAAAAATTATGTTTTTTTTCTCCGGAAGTTTTTTTTTCCCATCTGCGTTTAAAATCGATTTTCAGTCAAAAACAATACAAGTACGCTTGACTGTGTAGTAACCACAACTTTTAACTTCTTACCAATATTGAAGAAAGATTTGATATTTTGTCTTCATTTGTCTCAATTGACATTTTAAAAGAATCTCTATGTATCGGATATGATTAATCTTACTAAAAAAATTATATCATGTTTTAAACATAATTCATACTTAGAACACTGTAAACTATTTTTTAAATAGGGGTCTGGCAGAAACCTACGGGTGCTCGATATAAATTCTGCCACAATACAACACACACACGTTTACCAACCTACCCAATATAAAACTGCAGACAGTTCCATCCCCACACCCAATGGCCTATATTGGTTATCCATTAAAAAAAAAAAAGAATAATAATAATTAGTATTTTTTTGATTTTCTTAAGTTTAAAATAGTTTATTCATTGATAAGATCTGTCTTTTTATAGATCAATTGATATTATCTTCTTGGACTCTGTACAAATTATTATTATAGAATTTAAGTATATAAAAAAATTCGAAAGCAATTATTTAGTTTTTATAATGATTGTTTAGACTAAATTACTGTTTCAGAATTGATTAAAATATAATACTATGTAATGAAATATGGTTAATACGACTTAATATCAAATTAACATTTTCTTGCTATTTGGATAGCTTTTTATCTAAACCCTCTTAATACCTATTACTTATTAGTCTAGCCATAATTATAACAACATTTTAAAAAAAAAACATGAATCAGAAAATAATCACATTAAGTATGAACTATGAAGTTACTTTATATTGTTTATAATATCGAGGATATAATATATACATTTTATACCAACTACAAGTACCTACATTTTAAAAAATGTAAGTAAAATTAGTTTTATAATATTTTTTACTAAAATATATATATTCATAATATATATCAAATGAAGTTGAAGTGTAATTAAAAATTTTAATATCTTAACACTAAGTAAAATTTATGATTCGGAGAAAATTAAAAAAAACGCAGGACAAAAGGTCATTGTGTACGCAGTTATATAAAAATAAACAATAAATTATCTCCAAATTATAATATTTTACTAAGTTGATAGGTACGAAGGTGCCTTCTTCGCGTTCACTGTCCAGATATTATATTTATATTTTTTCGTTGGGATTTTTTATTCTTATTTATAAATATCAATATCATTAAACTTAATTTAAAACAATTTATGTCACGTAGAAGATATTATTGGTAGATGCATGGAGTTAGGTAAATGTTAATAACCCCTGACCCCTCAACGATGTCGACACTTGAAATTTAAATTCTTATCTTTTTTTAAATTAATTATAGCTTATTAGTTATTACTAATTACTAATTAGTAATTAGTTATTAGTTTTAAGGTCTAAATGGTTTCCATGCACTGCTTAATTTAATAGCTATACTAGACAATAGACTTGAAAATGTTTTTCTTTTCTACTATCATATATTTTTTAATCATTTATATTAATTTATGCCACCCCATTAAATATGTCTTTGAATAGGAATAAAATAATCATTAAAATTTTTATTTTTTTTTAGTTCTTGCCATAAAATTGCAGTGAATTTTAACTTTGAAGTTATAAAGAAAATTTTATTTTAAAAATAATATTTGGCATTATATAAATAATTAAAGTCAAGTACCTATCAGACAAAAAGTTTTTGCTTAGAAATTAAAATTAAAAAAAATTATGAATATCCCCTTTATGTGTATGTATGAAAGCACATAATCATTATATATACCACAAATACATTTAGGTATATTTGTTTTTTTTATTCTGCAAAACTTTAACATTTAAATCTACTACTTAAGTAGTTATGTTTAACTTTTTGTTGATTTAAATCAACGATTTCTCTTCGGAAAATACTTAGTTTTGATGCTTATGAAAGTGTATACATAATAGTATAATTTATTTATACATATATTATTATGTAAAATATATGAGTATTTCCCTATTGTGTAATATGGCTTTCATAAATATGTATATAGATTTTTTATAACCATGTTATCATATTTTTATGAATTTAATCGCAGATTTATTTAAAACAATTGATTCTTTGTGGATAGTGTGGCCTGGTGTTTGGCTTCAGTCGCAAACGTGTTCTGAGTGCCAGCACTGGTCAGTGCCACTAGTTCATGGATGGGTGATCACCCAGATTTTTGTGACAAATCCTTCCCACACATAGACACGTTTTCTGAACCAACTGTACCCTCCCTCCTCTTACAAACCCTAATAGACATAGTTGCTGGTCAAAAGTAAAAAAAATATAATTCTCTGTCTACATAATAAAATTAATAGTTAATATGAATTAAAGAAATATTATAATAAATTAATATTTCAATATGTCTTAATATTTATATAGAAAATATAAACATAATAGATTTTAGTAAATTGATGCAATGTAATTATCACCCCGAACTTTAAGGTTAATTCGGTTGGATAGTCTTTAAACAACACTAAGCATTGTCTTCATTGAACCCATATTGATTATGTATATTTTAAAAATAACGTTAAATAATATGCATTATATAAAATGTAACTAAAAATTTCAACTATACGAGTAATGTTTTTTTTTTTTTTATTCTTATTATAGGCCGTTTCTTCCATTGCCTCCGCTTCCGCAATGCCTATCCATGTTTCTCTGTCCGTGGCTATTTTATCCCCATCTCGTATTCCTTGATAGTTTAAAAGTTCCTAATAAAAGTTTAATTTTTTAAGTTTGATAAACTGTCTATAGTCTATACTAAGAAAATGAGAAAATATTATTACCTACTCATACCTAAATGTTAAAATGTATATGTTTTTATTGATTAGTTTATACCAATATAATTCGTTTAAAATATTTATCCTATTATTCTTTACATAAGTTTTTTACCAAAAAAAAATAAATATATTTATGCTTTCATAAATAATTTATAAATAATCCTATAAAAAACAAAAAAATGCACCTATAAAAATTGTAGTAACAATAAATAATTGTTGAAGTTAGTTGGCACATATTGTGTTGAAAAATATTGATGAAAACGTTTCTTGTTTTATTAGTCAAAAAAAGTGAAAAAAAACTGTCTAGTCATTAATTTGGAACTTTTATGGGTTTGAGTTTAAGAAAGTTTTTAATTATAGCCAATATAGATGAAGATATCAAAAAATCGCTAGTAAATCATATTAAATTGCATTATATAAAAGAAGACCAATGAAGATTGTAAGTTAGGAACTATCATTACTTTTATTATTTTTATAATTTAAGCTAACGTAGGTATGTTTGGAGATAGGAGATATCTCACGAATCTTGAAACTATACACCATAATATA